GAACCGTTAGATGTAGGACACGTGTATGCATCTGACGGTGTGATGCGTCTGCTCATAGGCGTTAATCAGTCGCGTCTATAGAGTGAGCGGGTAATAACTCTCCCGAGTTGAGTTGACATGAAGTTGATACGTCACATCAACTAGGCCCATGTAGACGTCAAATCAATTAAACCTTAGGGGCAGAAAGGATCTTGACCTAGATCTCTTTCTGAAATTGACGGCGGATCCTCTGACAGAGATTCTCAGAGTGCGTTGCGCTTCGGCGTCAGAGGCAAGAACACTTCGGTTGGTTTAGTAGGATTGATTGTGCCTTGCAGCGCATTAGCAGCTCGCCAACATTAGTGGTGGAGTCACTTCAAAACCACTTCGGATGGGTGTTGAACACCTCGTATGACGCAGTGGGTTCAATAGGATTGTTTGTGCCTCGCAGCACATTAGCAACTCGCCAACATTAGTGGTCACCCGTTCGAAATGGTTCAGATAGGGGCATAATATTGTCCATATTAAAGGAGTTAATAATTTTCTTGCAGATTTTCTTAGCAGAAACACAGAATTTGCTGATGGATAAAACTAAGGTCATAGAATTATGTCAATCTATTCTACATATACAACAAAGGACAGACTTTTTCAAAGAAGAATCTGAAGATATAAACTCTGAAGCAACCTAAATCTCAAAGATGTTCAATTCAAATATAAAAATACTGTTGAATATCACTGCTGAGCATCATAAATATGACATAGAACTCAAAAATCAAGTTGTTGCTATTGCAGCACAACTAAAAGATATACTATCTAAGACAGATATATCAAAGAGCTCAGAAATGAGTTTCCAAACCAATACCAAACAGGGACAGCTGGAAACAGCAGTGAATCCAGACGTGATAACATACCAACCGATAATAAAGGATATTCCATTTCAGCATTATTAAGAAAAAAAGTTATGATACATGGAGATAAAGGAGATACCAAAACAATTAGCATAATAAACTAAAAAGATAAAATTCCTTTAGATCCAAAAGAATAAAAATATGTCGAAATAGTCAAAATTGCTTATGAAATAAAAATGTGTGATTCATGTTTCATCTCCCCGGGAAATAATGTTTATCCTAGAATAACAGCCATGAAAGAAGGAGACCCTTCATTTATAAAAATTATGGTAGACTATGGATTCATGGATTTGATATATCCAGGAAAAGATTTGATTAAAATTTCGAAGTTTGATGACATATTTATAAAAGAAGTATCTAGATTTGCCAAGGGACGAAAAATATATTTGAAATTCTATTCAATAAGTCCAGAATATGATGGAGTTGCTTACTATCCAGTTGAACCCATAATCTCAATTGGATATGTTGCAGCCAATTTTCAAATAAATGTTATAGAAAATAATAGAAAAGTTTCGACAGTAACAAAATCATGGATCAGACATAGGAGAGCACTTGGAATTAAAGCCATCTACAACATTGCAAAAAATTTGTTTGATAAAAAATTATTATACTTGTGCCAATATGAAAATTGGATACTGGTATCCAATGGAGGATATGAAAAATCAAAAATTTTAAAAGATTATATTACAAGATTCGATATACATCAATTTTCAGGATGTCCTACTACTATAAAAGAATCATGTCAGTTAAGGGAGTACCCCAGCTGCATGAGAAGAAATAAATAAAGAAGACAATAATAGAGCACCTTTGACAAAGGTGTATGGAGAACAATAATACAGCTGCATGTGAAGACATTGAAGAAAAAGATGTTCTTTGGATAAAAAGTTGAAGCAGCATGTGAAGATGTAGGCCAATAAGGAAAATAATAGAAAGACAAGTGTGCCTTTACTAATGTACTCAATGATGTAATAGAGTCTCATAAACTTGTATAAATAGAGACATTGTCATAGATAGAGAACATCTTATCTTATCTTAAAATCTCAAATTGTAAGCAATAGCTACTTTTATAATTATTTCCAGTTTAAAAAAATCAGTTTTTCTGGAAATCTTTTTGTACCAAATAGAAGTCTTGTATAAATTCTAATAGAAATAAAATCCCAATATTTTTGATATTAATGAGTTTCTAAATCTTTGCTCCCATAGATTCTTGAAGGATCTAATAGAAAGTCTCCTATTATTTTAGCAAAAAGAAAGTTTTTCTTTAATATAAGTTTAAAATTTTATTCTTTAGAAGTCGATGCAGTGAGAGCAAGTAGTTGAAATAGTAACAATTCCGTGAAGGCAGGAGACCATTAAAGGAAGCAGTTTACAGATTCAGAGCTCGAAGGTCACTCGGTTCTAAGAATAAAAGTCCAGATCAAATTTAAGGTAAAACTATTAAACTTTTGCTAAAATTAGAATGAATCTTTTTAGATCTTAAAAGAATCACAGTGACAATTGCATGATTTAATGATGCCGTGATATACAATTGAAGGATTAGATAATTTATTAGAAAGAATGTTAGAAGAAATAAAAAATATTATTTCTTGATTAAAAAATATAGAATTACCATTTGAAGAATATAATATTTTAATTAGAAAATATGAACTATATGTTGCAAATTATTCTTATTTACTAGATCATAGAATGAATTTATAGTCAAATATTCAAAATAGAAGATAAAATATTTAAAAAATTAGGATATATGTTGCAATATACAAAGAATCATTTTATTAAAGGTAATATAGACTTTTCCATAAAAAGGAATATTGATCATAGTTATCAAACCCGGACCGGACCGGCCGGTTCGACCCAAAAACCGTCGAACCGGACCATGGTCCAGTCCGAGCTGCTTAATTTTTTAGCTATGTTGCTGAACCGCTAAAAACCCAAAGGAGCAGCCGATTTTTCACTGAACCGCTGACCCAACAACTAATAAACTGCCCGGTCCACAAACTTCATTTAAAATCCCATTTATCCTTCTCCTTCACAGTCCTAAGCAGTAAGCCCTATTCCCGTTCCTGTAGAAGAGCAGCCAGCAGCATTCCTTGGAATTTCATTCCCTAAAATCCAAACCCTCAAATTTCAAGTTGTATTAGATGGAAGAAGAAGATGTAAGTTTAAATTTTATGAGTTTCTTTGTAAATTTCAGTTTTTCCCCCTCATATTATGCGTGAAAATATATCTTCAGATTGGTGATTTTTGAAAGATTTTTACCTCAACTTCAATGACCTACCTGTCTGTATGTTCTATGTTGTATACTTTACTTGATTTTTATTTGAATTTCATGCTTAAAATATATCTTAATGAAGTATGAATGAATTAATTTCAAATGAGTATTTCCCCTTATTTAGGTATCTTGAACATTTTTTCTGAACTGCTGCAAAATCGGTGTTATACAATATATATTGAGGCAAAGCAGTATTTCCCCTCTCTTGGAGTACAAAACTATGTCTTCATATAGATTCCTGTAAATCAGTTTTAAAGGGGAAAAGGAACTTGTTTAGCAACTAAGATAACAAAAACAGGATGCCTATGTTCTGGAGAATTTTGGGCCAATATGCTTTGTAGATTCTTATTTTTAATATAGAATCCAACTTACAAGACAGGATGCCTATGTTCTGGACTCTTTTGGTTCACCAATTTTAGCTATTAATTTTATTGGATAATGGAAAATATAATGATGTTAATTTTCAGTTGATTTCTTTTTGGACCAGCAAATTTTTGGTCATGTGCCGTCTACCGTTTGGATTGACTGCATTAGTGCCATTTATTTTAACTATGCATGATTAATATTGTTATACTTTCCTTGAGAACCACAAGCTTTCTGCCTTTATCATCACTTCTCTTTGATCATTGGCTAATATTTTGTTGAATCATGCTACTGGAGAATTTTGTTGGAGCTGATCATGTTTGTGTTATCATCTAGCATCTTTAATTCAACATTACCGAAAAATACTGATTATGCTCAGGCACAATATGATTTACCTTATGATTTGTGCCACCTTATGATTTTCCTTACCTTATGATTTGAGTGCATGCTCTATACAAAATGATAAAAATGATGGTAATTGTTTGATTGATGCTATTACTTTTTTTTTTCTTTTTATTAAAGTATATATGATGTAACGTTGAAATTTAAAACTATTTTCAGATGAATTACATTTTTATGATCTTGATCTTGATTGTGATGGAAATGACGACAATGGAAATGATACAAACAACGAAAATGAGGATTTTAGTATGACTGAGACTCCATCATTGGCGCAAGGCGAAGGAATTGAAGAATTTATGTCCGAGACCCCAACATGGATGCGCTCTAACTCTTCTTAATTGAGAAAATATTAACTAACTTCAAATAATTTATTTTGTTAACATGTTCTTTATCCAAGTTTAACTTTTAGTTGATGGTTTTACTTTTACAAGAATATTCTTAAAGCATATGAAGCTATCTTATTAAACCTTGTCATATGAAGTAGTTTTTTTTTTTTTTTAATCATTGATTGTTGTTTTTATTGTTTAAAGTCCATATTTGACTATATATGATCCACAATTTGTGAAATTGGAATACAAATAGATATTTAATTAACAAAATAATATGAGACTAATTTAGGTATTAGCAGAAAATGGGAAAAAAAATTTATTCAATGGAAATAGGTAATAATATTTTTAATAGGAATTGACCTGCCGGGTCACCGGTTAAATCACTGATCCATTGACCCACTGCATTGTCCGAGTCGAGTTTGATAACTGTGATATTAATAGGTCAAATAGAAAAATCTCTTCTATCTTCACAAAAAATAAAATAAATAAATAAATAAAATAAAATTCCGCACCCAACTCACCCCACAACGAAACAGGGCTACTCCCATAAAAAACCACGATCCGCACCATCAAATTACAACCCCACCATCCACCCTCGATTCACCCCTATATCGACGGCCACTCTAGTTAAATGACGCGGATCGCAATTTTTACCCGTCGATTAACTTTCAAAATCCAACGGATGTCACACGTTCCCATTCCCTCACGCTCCCTATATAAACATACCAAATACGACTCATACATCAGCAATCAGCTTTAAAAGATAATTCTCCCATTCGTATTGTACTCACAAACGGTTAGGATATCGGGGAAATGTCAGGTCGTGGCAAGGGAGGCAAGGGTTTGGGAAAGGGCGGTGCAAAGCGGCACCGTAAGGTACTGAGAGATAATATCCAGGGCATAACGAAGCCGGCCATCCGTCGTTTGGCTCGCAGAGGAGGCGTGAAACGTATAAGCGGTCTTATCTACGAGGAGACTCGAGGCGTGCTCAAGATCTTCCTCGAAAACGTCATTCGCGACGCTGTAACCTACACGGAACATGCCCGCCGTAAGACTGTTACTGCCATGGATGTCGTGTATGCGTTGAAGAGGCAGGGCCGTACATTGTACGGATTTGGCGGTTAATATGCTGATTTTGTGTATTAGGGTTAGTTTTTGGTGAATGTAAATCGGGGTTTTAAGTCAGTGTTGTTTTGATCAGATCTTAAATTGATTTCGTTAATGCAACATTCCTGTTCTCTAATGATTTTATGTTTAATTTATTCATGAGTGTAATTGCTGAGTCTATTTCCATATCATCTTAATTTGTGCTTCGTTAAGCCTGTTTACTTTTTCATCGAACTGTAAGAATTTCCAATTAATAGCTTATGACCTGGCGTTCGAAAATGTAGAACGTTTAGTTAGAAATGATACCAAATTGAAACTGGAATTTGAGTACATATTATGAATGGTTTAGTGGGCAACGTGATGCTAATTGTAAATTCAATGGCTAGATAATAGGATTGTTGATTGAATAAAGTTTGATTTGATTTCGAGTCCAATCAGGTCGCACCATCAAAATACACTACCATAGATCAATTTTCGCCCATGGTGCTGGGTAATTTATCCAATATTATAGGATTTATTGGGTATTAAAACCCAATATATGACTAGAATCAACCACCTCAAATGATTTGGATGAGGATTATGCCTGTACATTATTAGCTCATAGTCTAACAGCGTACATTCATTCCCCTCACTCCTGCTCTCACGATCGAAGTTGTTTTCTGTTTATTTTAGGCCATTGGAATGTGTTTGAAAAATCTAAAGCATGGAGGTTGCTGAAATTTGGAGAATTAACAACGATAGGGATTAAGCCTGTAATCTTTCTACATATAAGTGCAAAATGGGCGATTAAAGTGCTTCAATGAGGCACCATCAATGGGGATATTGAGGTGTAAATGGATATTTAAGGTTACAAACCATGAATAATACTATAGATTGAAGAGCTAATGTCTTTAAGAACCTGCCTTTGAGATTCTTCTTATCAACCTGCAGCAGTTCAAACTACCTTTGAATTTGGGTAGACAACTATAGAAGCAGACACTCACTTAGGAGTAACAATGGACAGACCAGCTAGGTTTAATTCGAGACGTTCCATGACAATCTTGGTAGAAGGGTGGATTTTGAGCTGGAGAGCCATAGCAATGGTTTAATTGTGGTTGGGCAGGCACAATAGAGGGGCAAACGTTGTTCTTGAAGTGTTCAAATTCAAATTGTCTTGTCATTTGTCAACACGAAAATGGTTGCAGAGGAGGAAATGACGAAGGTTGTATATGCAAATGTTGTTGCCAGTATAATGTATACATGGTCTGTCACTAATACCTATTTGATGTTAGTTTCGTGAGTAGATTTATGGGGGAGCGATTTAAACCACATTTTTTTTTTTACAAGGTGTCCGGGCTTGCGTCCGACTAGATCCTTGTCCCTGAACCTCCGGCTCCTCAGCTGCTCAGGGAGGTAAATCGCAGGATGTGCCATTGTTGGCTCCCAGGTTCTCACAACTCATTTGGACTCCTTCCGCAAAGAGAGCTCTCCTCACTGGGCGTTTGTTCACACCAATGGCTTCCTCTCCATATGGCTTCCAGTGTTAACTCCAGGAATCGAACTCTTCACCTTTGCTTCCAGCGTCTCAGCGAAGTGATTGTTCAACCAACTATCTAATGCATAATTTATAGCTAATAATTCTGCATCTATACTACTTAGATTTCCTTTCTCTCTATAATTTCCACTATTGTACCTACAGATTCTTTCTGTAATTTTATCAGTATATCTATTAGGTTTGCATATTAATATAGCTCCCCATCTTGTCATACTTCCATCTGTTTCTATGATTAGATATTCTGAATCTAAAGGCATAGCTAATTCTGGTAAGGTTTTTATTTTTTCTTTTATTTGTTGAACTAATTTTATGTCTTCTTGATTAAAAAATCTTTGTCCTGTAGGAGATGTCTTAGCATATAAAGGTCCTGCTATTTTTCCTAAATCTTTGATAAATGGTCTAGCATAATTTACTAATCCTAAAAATTTTTGAATTTGTTTCAAATCTTCTACTTTGTCTGGAAATTCTAAGGCTTTCTTAGCAATATGGGGTTGTAACTTAATTTTACCTTCTCCTATATTAACTCCTAGAAAATCTATAAATTCTTTAAATAACATCATTTTCTTTTTACTAATTATTAAACCATGTTTAATAAATTCTGAAAATACTATTTGTAAATGTCCTCTAAGTTCTTGTTTATTTTTACTAAATACTAAAATATCATCTATGTATACTATTACAAACTTACTATGTCTATTAAAAATATTTTTCATTTTTCTTTGGTGCATTCTTAATTCCAAATGGCATTATAAGCCATTCAAAACGTCCTTCTGGACAAGTAAATGCTGTCAATTTAATACTTTCTGAATGCATTTTTACTTGCCAAAATCCTGACTTTAAATCAAATTTACTAAAAATTTTACAGTCTTGAATTTTATTTATTAAAACTGTCTTATCTGGTATATTATAATCATCATCTATAGTATTATCATTAATTTTTTTTTATAGTTAATAACCATTCTACTTTTTCCTCTAACAATTTCTGAATGTTTTCTGACTATAAAGGCTGCTGATCTGTGAGGACTATCTGATTTTCTAATTACTCCTAGTTCCAAGAGTTCTTTTATATGTATTTTAAAATCTTCTAAGTCTAAGTTTGTAGCTTCAATATTCTTGATTTTAATTATGTATTCTGAATTCTTAATTTTTAATTCACATAATATTTTATCTTTCTCCCAGTATTTTAAAACATTTTTTCCTATTATTTCCATCTTTTCTAACCTAGAAATTAAATTTTCTATTTCTTGTTCTGTTATTAACATATCATAGATCTTTTCATTATCAATTAGTTCTATAATTCCAAAATCTAAGTTATCTTTTTCAAAATCTAAGTTATCTTGTTGTAAAATTTCAGGATTTATTTCTTCTATCAATTAACATTCTCTTTCTTTTTCACACTTGCAGTAACTACTAGTATTGCTTCCACCACGCTTCTCTATGCACTCTGATGGGAAATAAGCAGTCTGTGTTGGTGTAAACAATGTATGTTTTTGTAAATGTAAAAAAACCTTTAGTAATTGTAACACTTCCATTGTCTTTTAATAAAAAATTTAATCCTATAATAAAATTTGTATCTTTAATGTTTAATGGTCTAACCCAAACTGATTCTTTTGGTAAGGTATATTCTATACTTCTACCACAATTTGTCTCAAAACTAATCTTACTATTTGATTGTAATAGTTCTTTATAAGTATAAAGTTCTCAATCCATTTGTTGTGCTTCTATTGGTTTGTCTGAGTATACTATGTATTGTTCTGGGATTATTTTCTTATTAATGATACAATTGCTACATCCTGAGTCTATTAAACCTAGACATTTTATTTTATATTGTCCTATTCTTATATAACATTTTACTTTAATACTTTTATGTTTTTCTGGATTACATATTACCTGAACATATTCTTTTTCTTTATATTCTATACCTTGACTGTGTTCTTCTATTTCTATTGTTTTTCCTTTACTATTATATTCTAATATTTCTATTTTGTTTATTATAAATTTTTGCATTTCTTCTAGGCTTTCAATTCTTTTTCTAAGAATTTTTATTTCTGATATTTCAATTTATATATATCCAAAAAATGGGCTGACTCGTAAAAAAAAAAGTGGTAATTACACAAAAGCCTACGATTAAAATCCTGAATTCTGAAACCAGATGGGAACTTTAATCTTTCTAAAATCAGATATTAGCATATTTAAATATTAATATTAAATATACATTTTTTTTTTATCCCAAACCCTATCATTTTCTCCCTCTCCCCAGTTCGGCAATCCTCACTCTCTCTCTCATCGTCTTCTCTCCCTTGCCCCAATCACCCACGGAGCCATCACCACCCACGGCATCCCCGACGCGAAGAAGCATGAATCGCCGGCCAGATAATGCAGACCATCGTCGCCATGAGGATCTGCGATGTATCCGAGCTTCGCCAAGGCACCAATCGATGGGTTTTTTTTTTTAATTTTTTGGTAAATGGTTGTTGGACTGTGGGCTGCGGCGGTGGATTTGGCCGTGATTGACTATTGTGTTGTGTGTTGTGGTTGTGCAGTGTCGTGGGCTTGTGATGTGGTGGTATTGTGTGTGTACTGTGGGCGGTGGTTGTTCGTGGTGGTGGTGATGTGTTTGTGGTGGGTTGTATGTGCTGGTGTTGTGGCTGAGTGGAGGTGTTGATACGGGTGGCGGGATGGTGGTAGAGTCCAGCGGCAAATTGGGGATTTTTTCTGGTGGGGGCGGTGCGATGGTGGTGGTGTTCGTGGGGGGCGGTACGATGGTTGTGACGATTTTGGTTGTGCTGGTGGTGTTGTGTGGGGGTGACGACGGCGATTTGAGGTGGTGTTGCATGGGGGCGACGACGGTGGTTTGAGGAGGTGGTGTTGTGACCAATCATTTAGTGATTTGTGATTCCCAATTGTTGTGTTGGTGTGTGACGGGCGATGGTGATGATGATGAAAATTGTGTGATCTAAAAAAAATTGTGACCAAAAAATATTGTGTGATTTAAAAAATTAATAATTTGTGACTGTCTTTTAAGTTGTGACCTATAATATTTGTGATCTGTGACTTATAAATTTTTGATTTGTGATCCATAAAATTTTTGATTTGTGACCGAGAAATAAGTTGTGACTAATAATTTGATAAGTTATGACTAAAAATTAATCGTGACTCATAAATTTTTTGATTTGTGATCGATGAACGAGCTGTGACCTACAAAATTTTTGAATTGTGATTGTAAAATAATTTGTGACAATTTCTTATTCGTGACCAAAAAATAATAAGTGACTAATTAAATTGTTAATTTGCGACCAAATTAGATGTGACCAATAACAATTTTGATTTCGTGACCTATAAAATTTTTGATTCGTGATCGAAAATAATATGTGACCTATAAAATTTGTGTTTGTGACTTATAATTTATTGAGTTGTGATCGAAAAATTAATATGTGACCTATAAAATTTGTGTTTGTGACTTATAATTAATCTGTGACCTATAAAATTTTTGATTCATGATCGAAAAATAATATGTGACCTATAAAATTTTTAATTTGTGACCGAAAAATAAGTTGTGACAAATAATATGATAAGTCGTGACTAAAAATTAATCCGTGGCTAATTATTTTTGGGTTTGTGACCAATAAACAAACTGTGACTTACAAATTTTTTGAAATGTAATCGTAAAAA